TATATTGTTTACTTATAAGAGAAATGGACCGAGAAATTGAAGCGGCATAGACAAAGACGGATTGTCGGGGTTTAAATTTTAGCTACCTGCTACAATTTAGTACAGTCCGATCGCACAAAGTTTTTTTAAAAGTACACCTCATCTATACCGAAACTACATAATATAAAAATATTTAATATAAGCACCAGTACTACATTTATTTACGATTTGCATACATAATAAGCTTTTATTACTCTCTTTCATTTCTAAACAGACTATAGAGGTTATGCCACAAAACGTCACTGAGAAAGATAGTACCTAGCGCTCTCTATCAGAAGGTAAAAAACTAATAACATTGGCGTACCTATTAAGTACGCTCAAAAACTTACCTGTATTGAATTTCAATGCAGTACATTATTTTTTGGAAAACAAAAGACGATAAGCCCATAGCCTATAGAGAAGAAGTCGTATTATTTTTTAATGTTCCATTAAATGCTGAAAAAAAGGAGAATTAAGAGAGATATTTTGTTTACTAATATCATCACAACATGGCAATTTGGAGACCTTTTGAAACGGAACAAAACAAAATTCACCATCAATATAATAAAATTGTTTGAAGACATAAATAATTAAAATGCGTTGTTGGCCAAATGAACATATAACAGAAATTTTCTACACATTATATACAAATTATTATAATTTTTTACCTTTACAGAAATTTTTTTAGGGACGCCTATGAAATTCATTAAATTTTATTACCAGACGTTTTTATGCATATTCAACTGACTTCGGAAGGACTATAAACGTCTAGTTTCAGTTGTCACTTTTTTATCTTGTACGGTTTAAGGGATATCTCGAAAGAAACTATGTTGCACGTAGTTTCAAGGGAGACTTGCAGTCGCCTTAGGCAGCATTTTTGGCATTTGTCCATAAAATTTTCTCATACTTTTAGGCACATAATTCGCAGGTAAAATAATGCAGGCCGATTACTTCTACAGCCACGGAATAATTTAATAAAACTTTTCCTAAACCGGTGAATGAATGAAATATTAGAAACCTTACTATCACTCAAGGCTCCCATATCTCGATAAGCAGCGACTCACTCAACCACAGGCACTAGCACCCACTCTACACTGCTTAAGTACGTGTAAAAGTACACTGAATTCCTCGTACAAATATAGGTGTATAACTGCACATTCACTACCGCTTCTTTCGGACATCTTCAGCTGACTGTTCTGGTTTTTGCTAGAACCTCAGTGCCCCTTCTGGGCGATGTTGTTGTGGGGTAGGTTCCTCCCCATCCCTTATATGTATCCAGGTACAAAAGGTGGGTTTAATTTCAGGTAATTCCAATTTAATTCCCGGTAATTTTATACCCAGTCAAGTCGAAGAGAGGAATATTACAACGATAACTATACTCTCGATAATTTCAGACCGCTGCTTGAAAAATTTGTATTCGTTGTGCAAAAGGATTACGTACCAGCGAAAATATCTCACATATTAACCAAGCCCCGGAGATGAAGGATATTCTATTTTAGAATTTTAATCATACGCTTTATTTTTATTGGACGTAAAACAGATACTATTTACCAAACGCAAGTGCTCTTTTGATATTGTAAAGGTAATTAGGTTTTTTAACGCTTCGGATTAAAGTTTTATTATTATATGAACTGGTAACTGCGTCTTGTAAAAACATTTTTGCGCAACGATTTAGGGGATTTGCTTCAGAGGTTGGGTTGAAAATTATGCGTGAAAGTGGGGCAACTTTATTATATTTTTTTTCATCACAAATTATTTGTGGGTCACCCATCACAAAATTAAAAAAAATACTTCAGTAAATGATAAGTTTCATGGAAGTCAACTGTTTCAAATAAAAATGTATTTCTTCATATAGCTATTTTCAATTATACAGGATGCTCCATTTCTTTTGGGCGTTATTTAACTTATTTTTTTAAGTGGAGCACCGTGTGCATTATTGCATTTATTTTTCATTTCTTTGTTGAATTTAAAACCTACATTGATAAACAAATATTGGGTGTACTATTTCGGTGTTATTTGACGATATTAAAAAAAATGGCATATGCACATTAAACATTATAATAAGTTGCTGCTTCCAGCATTCGTTCAAGCATGAAAATCTACTCGTATATTATGTGTTGTGTTACTCATTTATAAGATTTCAAACAGAAAAATAATAATTACGGGTCCTAGAAGTTAAAAATTTTCAATCCCGGATATGACTTTATAAATGAAAGTTCAGAGAAAGTTAGACAAAAAGACGGAATAAGCGAACTTTTTTCCTCTGAATTTTTTTTATAGAAAAATGTAGGTTTTGAGGTTAGAAAACATATGTCACACATGAAACCACCAGCACCATACAGCGATTTGAGATATAGACATAGACATACATATCTCGTATATATGATTTTTCCCGTTTTTTGTACAAAAACTGCCGATATCTCTATGAAGATGTATTTTTTCGAAAAAAAGTTCCAAATAAGTGTTGTTCAAAATTAAATTTCCTATTTTCCCAATAGTTTTCCCGTATATTTTTCAAATAAAGTACAGATTATGTTGAAATTAATGTTTTGGTCAATGGCTGATTCATTTTTAAATAACAAAAGCGAATTAGAGAAAAGAAAATTGCAGAAAATTCTTGGAAAATCGTATACAGTTTTCCGAGGTTTGAATATTTATGAGCATCAAAGGTATCATTTTATAGGTTTTCAAGGGTGTTAATTACAAATTAATTATGCATTTTTTAATATTTTCCAGAAAAAACTGTTTTCGTTGAAATTTGCAATACAATGAAATTGAAATTTAAATTTGATGATAATAATAAAGAATTTTTCTAGAGCTGCAAAGGTGTAATAAAAATATATACATCAATATATAATTTAATTTTATTTATTTATAATTAAAAAGCAACTTTTTTTATTTATTATTTTTAACAATTTTTTATGAACTTCCATATGTAGGTTTTTTAACTAAAACTGCTTCATCGCTGTCGCAAAAAAATTTCAAACAGAACACATTTTTCTGGAAAATATTAAAAAGCGCATAACGTTTTTGTAGTATGGTAAAATATATCTTTATATACACCCTCGAAAACCTATAAAATTAAACGTTTAATACTCAAATATTCAAACCTCGGAAAACGGTACTTATAAGATTTTCCAAGAATTTTCCGCAGTATTCGGAAAAACTATTGGGAAAAGCGAAATTTTTCGTAGGAGTAATTTTGTAGAAAATTTAATTTTGAACAACTTTCATATGAAACTTTTATTCGAAAAATTGCAGCTTCAGTTGAGATTATAGCACTTTTTGGTCAAAAAACGCGAAAAATCATATACATATTATGTATTCCGACTTTTCCGACAAAACCTACACTTTTCTATAAAAAATTATCAGGGGGTATAAAGTTCGATAATTTTTTCCGTATTTCCTAGACTATTATTTTAAATTTGACACAGACAAATTAAAATGTTTACGTATTTTTTGTTGATGTACCTACCCTGATATTTTTTCCTTATTTTCCTGGACTATTATTTTAAAATTGGTACAGATAAATTAAAAAGTTTAGGTATTTTTTGTTGATATTTCCACCAACATATATATGCTACATAATAATGGAATTTTCAAAGCTATTATGTGCTGTGAAAATGAGCAGTAATGTTTTCTTGCATTCGATATATAATATCGAAATCGTACGTTTTGAACCCAATAGGTTTTAAATTAAAAGATGAAAGATGCAATACTTAATATTAAAAAAGTTCCATGTGACAAAAATGAAGCTAGGTAACGCCCGGAAGAAATGAGACAGCCTATATTATTGTAAACACCTAATTTTTAAATGTGAAGAAATTGATTTGACGCAACATTTATTTGAAACACTTTTTTGTGTTATTGACATTATCAGAACTATATAAAAGAATACATCTTCAATGGGAAATAAGTCAATAATTTTTTATTTAAGATCCTTGAACGGCGCGAAACTACAACTTTATCAAAAAAATTATGAAACAGAACAGAACCCCCTGGCCCTCCCCTCGCCCATATATACGCCCCTGTCTACGGCTACTTTGCTGAAAATATGTTAGCTATGCAAACAAGTTAAAAGTATCCGTTCTTTATTTTTAAACTCGCAAATCGTTAACAACTAGTCCACCGTCAAATATATTTTGAAATTTAAAATTTCAAAGTCGAACATTTAATTTTATCCGACAACTCGGACTTTTGCTAGATTTTCCGATGTTTTTCACCATTAAAAATAAATATTTTGAGACTAATAAATCGTAATTTCATAGAAAAACTACTGTGATACCAACTAAAAAATATTTTCCAATAAAACTAACCTTGTTAAACTGTTAGAACGCAAGAAAAAAGTGGCACCGCACAGGTTCCGTATTGTAACTTTAGGTTTGAATATCGAATTCCTAAGGAGAAAACATATATTTTGACTACGACCACCTACTCGTGAAATAGAAGCGGATATTTAGAAAACATTACACAGTTACTCGCTGAAGTAATTTTATACTGAATTAGTAGCAGAAAAACACCAGAAGTACGAATTACACTTTGTGGCGGGTTCGATGACATTTCGAAAACTTGTCAAAAACTACTAGACATAGAAAAGGACTGATGACACTCGAAAACAGATTATCTGATGTGAGAGTTGAACGAAGTGTCTTCTGCAATCATAAGCCATTGAATTGCTTGTCCGTCAGAGCGCGGATGCTTCTGTATAAATTTTATTACAAGTATTTCACTAATTCACTGTGCTAAAGAATTGAGAATGTATACACCCTGTAGTTTTTAACATATTTGTATTTTAAATTTTCAAGAGACGTGCCTTTTTTAACTGACAAAATAATCTATTTCTGTACAAAAGCTGTTCAAATTTCAAATTTTTACATTTTATGTTGTAGCTAACTTAACTCAAGTATTGTATTTTTTGTTTTACAGCATTTTGAAAAATCGCGCGTTTCCCGTCGCTCCCCGCACATTCACCCGCCACTCACCTGACTTCGCGCCGGTCTTCTTCTTCAGCTTGGCCTTCTCCTCCGCCCCTTTCTTCAGGCTGAAACGGAAACTGGCCAGCCTCGAGAAGAAGCCCCCGAGCTTGCCCGACTTGGCCTTCTCCTTGAAGGTGTGCGCATGGCCGGCTTCGCGACGCGCATCGTGCGCCTCCATTGCGCTGACTGGCCGGAACGCGCTTTGCGGCCGCTGTTGCTGCGGCTGCGGCGACGTGTCCGATCCGCCACCACCATACCCGTCGCTGCTGTGGGGCCTGCCGCCGCTGCTGCTGTTGTTGGCGAAGCCGAAGCCCAGCCCGAGGTCCAGGTGGGTGTGCTTGTACTGGATGCCGTCGCTGTCGATGTAGGCCTTGACTATGGAGCCGTCTTTGTCTTTCTTGATGAGCTGACTGCCTACAATGGAAAGAGACAAAGTGAAAACAAACGTGGTCGTGGGCGAGGGCGCGAGGTGTTAGGAATTCCGTGGCGATTTAAATTTACAATGAATGGAGCGTTTACGGCACAAGCTCGAAAAAAATGTATAGACTGCACTTACTGATAGCGATTCAAATTAACTGTAGGCTACCTTGCGGCCGATTGCTGAGGGTAGGACAACACAGTGTACACTGAGGGAAATATCTTTTTGCCACAGTAGGAATTGATTAATGCATTTTCTTTTTAAAGGACCCCGCACACACCTTATGGAAATTGTTTTTTTGGTGAAATTTCCTGAAAAGTTGATATGTTGTCCCTTGTTTATCGCTGTTCAAAAGCCTTCATAGCCCCGAAGCTCCAAATGACCATCTGGAGGCGGTAGGGGTCAAAAACAGTAAAAAAATTGATTCACTCTCAAATATAATAAATTTTTGACATACAGAATGTCTGGTAAGTATATGGCATACTCTCGGGAGGTCAAAATAACCCTAGTTTGTCATAAAAATTTTCCTAAAGTGCCCCTTAACGGAGATAGAGAGCCCCAAAGGGGTACCCAGCGATTTACCTTTTCGATTCAAACTTTTGGTCCGACTTGTATAATTTAATGAAATTTTAATATTTTATGTAGACCACAAAGGCGCATTAAAGCCATACTGTTAGATGTTTTACACTGTCAGGGAAGTCAGGAACGGACTTGCCACCACAGTCGTTGGGCCAAAATTTTGACAGGTTCATTTTATAGACCTAAGAACTGAATTTTTAAATACTTTGGTCATTCCTCTTTAAAAAAGGTACTCAACATTTGTTTCGATAAAATTAGCCGTTTTCGAACAAATTCAGTTTTTGTATATCACGTCATTCAAATAATAAATCAGAATTCTGCAATATAGTACTAGTCGTTTTTATGTCGTTTTTGACAACACTTGTAAAAATTGTCTGATTGATTGAGTACACAAGACTAAATAAAGGAGCATTATTCCTATAGCGAATATGCTGACTTGTATCTAATTTATGGACAAACACTCGGCAATTGTGTTGAGGCAAGAAGAATTTATTCTGATACATTTCCAAATCAACGTTTACCGCACCGAACAATTTCTGAAAGGGTTGATCGTAGCTTACGAGAAAGACGTAAAGACACAAGTGAAATAAAAATATGCTAAAAGTAGCTAATCTTTCGCTAATACATTTTAAGAAGTTTTTTGCCGCATCATGGTAGAGAAGGGCCTCCAAGAAGAGCAAGGAACCTTCAGTTAGAGGAGGAAAGTCTGGATGAGATTGCTGAAAATCCCTCCAATAATGTAAGAAAGCTGTCGGTCCAAGTATATGCGACAAAGTGGACCGTTCGTGAGACCCTTCTAGAACAACTGCTACGCTACATCCTTATCACGTCCAAAAGGTAAATGAAATGTCTCCCGCTGATTATCCTGTAAAAGTCAATTACGCAAATTGGTTTTTGAAAGGATTTAAGCAAAATACTATTAGTATTGTTTTGTTCACGGACGAAGCCAGTTTCAATCGAGACGGAATAATGAATTGCCATAATTTGCATATCTGACATGAAGAACATCCCCATGCAACAGTACAGACAAAACACCAACAAAGGCTCATGGTTAACAAATGGGCGGGGATTATTGGGAATCGTCTCATTGGACCGTTGTTTTTTGAAGACACTAAATGGTGCCATGTCAATGACGACATAAAATCAACTAGTGTTTTATTGCAGAATTCTGATTTATTATTTCAATGACGTGATATACAAAAACCGCATTTTTTAGAAAACGGCTGGTACCTTTTTTAAAGAGGAATAACGGTGGTCTATGGGAACAACCAAAGTATTTAAAAATTCAGTTTTCAGCTCTATAAAGTGACACCTGTCAAAATTTTGACCCAACGAGTGTGCTGACAAGTCCGTTCCTGACTTCCCTGACAGTGTAAAACATCTACTGTAGTATGGTTTTATGAGTTTTTATGGCCTACATAAAATATTAAAATTTTATTAAATTATACAAGTCGGGTACCTCTTTGGGGCTCTGTATCTCTGTTAATGGGCACTTTCGGAAAAAAAATTATGACAAACTAGGGTTATTTTGACCTCCCCTATACTTACCAGACATCGTGTATAATGTAACAAATATAACTTTTTTTACATATAATGTAGCTTGTTTAACAACGATTAGCATATATTTGATAGAAATATGTGAAATGCTCTCTCAAATAAAGAATAACGACCGCTGACACTAGTAACCCGATATGCACCAGGAGGAGGTTGTCAAGTCGGATTTTGCACATCATTTTGCCCTGAAAAGGACAGTTTGTTTGTGTGTTTGTGCGCGGTTGCATGTGCGTGTGTATTTTCAATTAACACACGAAGTACCAAACAATTTTTTTAATGCACATGAATTTTTCCAAAACAAAATTTTTGTATATGTATTAAAAAAATGTTTGGTATTCCGCGGTGAAATTACACGCGCACACGCACGCGCGCATGCGTACAAAGAAACTGTCCTTTTCAGGACAAAATGATGTGTAAAATCCGACTTGACAACCTCCTCGTGGTGCACATCGGATTACTCTAATGTCAGCTGTAATTGTCGTTACTCTTTATTTGTGAGAGCATTTTACAGATTTCTATATGCTAATCAGTGTTAAACAAGCTATATTATATGTAAAAAAGTTATATTTGCTACATTACCTATATGCCAAACAATTTTATTTAAGAGTTAATCAATTTTTCACTGTTTCTTAGTCTTTTGTGGGCCCTACCGCCACCAGATGGGCATTTGAAGCTTCTTGGCCATGAAAACTTTTGGTCAGCGATAAAAAAAGGGACATATCAATTTTTCAGGAAATTTCACCGAAAGACCAATTTCCATAAGGTGTGCGCGGAGTCCTTTATACATAGTTATAAAAAACAATACCCATTTTATAAAATTAAAGCTTTGGCTATGTGATACAATTGGATTAAAAAACGTTTTCAGTAACTACTCAAAATGCGTATTCACGAAAAACTTCCGGTTGTTGTCAGTGCAGTGATAACCTTCTATAATAATCTGAATTCTTTGTCATATTCAACGTCAACATATAATTAATAATGCGTATATTTCCAAACAATATTATTGGATAAAAGTAGAGCATTTGAATCACTTTTTGAAGCCTTTGTATATCTGCAGGCTTTAGATGTCAATTTGCAGCAGAGAAAAGTGCGACCAATTTCAATCCAATATTGTTTATTTCATGGCTGTACAGTAGGCTGCGATAGTTTCTAGAGACAGCCAATCCATTTTGCTTTGAGGTTTTTTTGATTCTTAATAAAAAAAATAAACTGATACGTTAGGTTAGGTCAGGTTTTTCTATAAGTGACACCTACGAAAAAGATCTAAACTTAAAACTGATTACATTCAAGTTATGTCTGATATGCCCCCCAAGGAGCCTAGGAGCAAAGTGGATTGCTGTCTCTAGAGTATAGTGATTTTTAGGCCATATCCCATATCTGACTTCGAATTTTGTGACTTTCTCTCAGAAAATCAAATAACAGTAAGTTTTATCTTTTGCATGTGGTGGGAAAATTTCAAAAAAAAATCTCAAATGAATAGAGCTCAAGCACAAATTAACAAATCGTTAATATAAAATTTTATTAAAAACTACAAACAGGAAACAGGAAATACAGTTTTAAATTTTCATGGGTTAATAGCGAAAAGAAAAAACTATATCATTACTAAAAAAAAACACGTTTTAAAGTGTTTCAAACTTCAATATAAAAGAAAACTAAAAAGCCAAACTCAAAACAAAACATTCTGTAAATTCACTTTATTATATCGTTGAGTGAGAAATAAATTCAACGATTATATACACAGCCTTCATAAAAGTTTACAAGCCACCTGACCGCCGAGCTCTTATGCAACCCAATATTGGAAGGCTTGTACTGTCAATTAAAAATCCCTAAATCTTAAGGCGGTTATCCATTTGTGTTAAATGCGCCGTAACGTAACACCGAACATGTTACGTTACAGCTAGTGAAGACGGAAAATTGTTGTATACTACGTGTAACAAATTTGACACGCGTAACTAATCCGGGACGAACCATCAGTTGTCGGTTTTTAGTCGTCGCATCAAAGGGATGCAACAGTTACCCTTTTGGCCGTAACGTTGCCTATTGTACATGTGATTTTGTCTTATTTTTTGTTTCGTCAGTCTTTTGTATATGGTCTGGGATCAGTCTGCAGTGACTAGGAAGAGAATAGAATAGAATAGACATATGAATCTCCAGTAGCCAAATAACGCAATGTTACTGCTAATCTTTCCTGCACAGGAATTGCTTCACGAAATTTTGTGTCCTTCCTGGAAATCGATGGACCAATTGCATTTATTAAAAATTCAAAATCAGTCGGGTGCATACTGACGAAATTTTTGTTCAGTCCACTTATATGTTGGAATTTTAAATCCGCATATTTCAAAATTGTATGATGAATAAAAATATATGACTCTGCTGCTAACTGCAATTGTAGTGACGAATCCATCATTGCAGTCAGGTTCATACTGCGAGTTTATGTTCCTGTGTCGTCTCGTAAACTTATTTTGTTACGTTACGGAAACCACACATACTTTCGCAGCGAACTGTGTCAACTTTTGCCACAGGCCGTAACATGTTCGTTGTTACGTTACGGAGCATTGCAACAAGTGGATACCCGCCTTTAGCGTCAACGGTTATATACGGAGCCTTCATAAAAGTTTATGAGCCACTTGACCGCCGTTTCCATGTTTAATATTCCTAATTCCAGAGCAACATGCTCTTGATCATTCACGCATATTCAGAATCTTCAATACTTTACTCGGAAAGCGGAATTTCTAAGGTTTTTTCTTCCGAGGGGTAAACCACTGAGGAAGTTTTTGTACATGTCCCCAGGAAGTCAGGAAGAAGTTGGTGGAAGTTATAAGGAAGTTGAAAGGAATTCCGAATGAAAGGAATTCCGAAGGAA